CGAAATTCGTTATGAACGAAGTTTTTACCGGATTCTCCGGGTTCATCTTAATTTGGTTGTACCCGGAGTAAGCATCGAGAAAACTCATTAACTCGTGACCGGCCGTTGCATCAATCATTTGATCGATGTTTGGCAATGGGAACAAGTCCTTTGGGCACGTATTATTCAAGTCTTTATAGTGTACGCACATGCAAAATTTATTATTCTTCTTAGAAACTACTACTACGTTAATTGGCCAGTCTGGATACTTTACCTCTCGGATTGAACCGATATCAAGTAAGCAAGTTACCTCTTCTTTGACGAATTTATTTCTGGCCTTGGCAATAGGACGTTTTTCTATCTTACAAGAGAAATGTTGGGATTTAGGCTTAGCTTGTGTACGACCACTTCCATTGGGATACCTGTCATATCCGCATGCGACCATTCAAAATAATTGGCATTAAATTTAAGAAATTCAATAAACCCATACCTGAGCTCGGGGTGCAGTCCTGGGGTAGGAAGGATCTCAAGTACCTAATGTTTCCTTGACCTGTAATGATCTGTTGTTTCAGCCGTGATCAGTTCTTCTATCGATAACGAACCTGTCTGCCGACCGGAAACCTCTGTCGCGTCCTTCGGCCTGTTCATATGGCAAAAACCGGCCCCTCAAAGACCGTCTATCTGTGTCAAAATCGTCTTTTGATTTCTCTTTATTCTTCTCCCGACCTTTAGCCACCGCCGGGAAGCCGAGATGATTATCCTCAATCCTTATCTTTGACTTGTACCGGTTGTGAACATCCGCCCAAGTCGTCTCTTGGAACTCGAGCAAGCTTGCCTTCAACTTCCAGGAAGCATCGGAACTTCTCGGATTCAAACCCTTCGTAAATGCTTCAGCCGCCCATTCATCCCGAACAATTGGGAGCAACATCCTTTCCTTCTGGAACCGGGTCACGAATTCTCGCATCAACTCGGACTCTCCTTGTGCAATTCTAAATATGTTGGTCTTTCGGGCTTGCACCTTTCTGGCCGCGGGCCTTAATGAAAGAATCCGCGAGCATCTCGAAGGAAATCTATGGAATGCTCGGGCAACAGCGAATACCATGTCAAGGCTCCTCTCGTGAGAGTCTCTCCGAATTTTTTCCAGCAAAACTGATTCAATCTCGTGGGAAGCTAAATCGTTCCTCTTCACCGCTATTGTATAGGTGGTGATATGCTCATGAGGGTCTGAAGCCCCAGCATATTTCGGCACGTGGGGAATTTTAAATCGCTTCGGGATCAATTTCGGTACCGCGCTTGGTTTGTACGGAAATTGAGTCCAGTCCTTTCAGCGCCGGTGGTGCACCTAGGATTTGGTCCATGCGGGCATTCACTTCCCTCATAAACCATATGAGTTCGCTTTTGAAGGGATCACCCTCATTTTTGTGACCGGATCTGCTCCCCCCGGGCCCCATCGAAGCCGACCTCGCCCCTCGGGGTGTTGTTGTCGACCCTCTACGTTATTTGATTTGCGGGAGCACCGGGATGAACTAGACCTCGTCCGTTCGTGTTACTGGAAGCACCCGATAACGCCTGCTTTAGCTCTATCATAACCTTATCCTGCCGTGTGAGATGGCCTAAAATGACCTCTTGTTGCTCATGCAGGACCCTTACCACTTCAACGATGTGCTCCTCTTCAGCATCATTAGGAGTCACCTCCCAAACACGTCGCGGGTACCGCCTACCGTGGGTCGGTGTGGCTTCGTTCACCTCACTGCAGGTATCACTGGTTGAATCCTCGTGCTGAGGTTAGTTTCTTTGGGCCTCAAGGTTGTGTGTGTTGTTAACATCATTATATGCCATTTTCTATGATTTTTTTCTAAGAACAAATAATCAAACACGTTAGTAAAAGAGGCGAGGACCAACTTAATTACACAAATGTCTAGGCCCCATGGTGGATACCAAACTATTTACCTGTAAAACGGTACAGTTGAATTTATACGTGGTTTCTAGATAAGTGAATTAATTTGATCCTGAAATAATAGATGAATTATATAAATATACAGTACTTAGCCTTGAGATAGAGAAGAGAAGATCAATGAAATCAAAAAGCAAGAAGAGAAGGTTATATTAAGCTTTGAATAGAGTGTAGCGTATGTTTGCCGGAAAATTTGTGTCATCTACAATGATAATACAGCTCACTATTTATAGTTGTACCTAGGGAACAAGGTCCTAGGATCAAGCCCCTCTTAATGTCAATTATGAGGGCCATTGAAGAACGTATAACGGCAGGCAATGAATGTTATATTCCTCGTAACGGACCATATACTTAATGCTATAGAATATTCCTCATTTAATACTACTGGGTGGCAGGCATTTATTTCATCTCTGTGAGTATTACTCTCTCCGGTAACAAATGAGATTGTCGCCTTCGGATTCAACTGTCTTTCGTCTTCGGCTCCACGCGTCACTTCCTTATTCGATAATTTAATGTAAACATATTTACCCTATATATATACCTATTTAATTGTTTTAAAATAAAATTAAAAAGAAAAACTAATTTTACCTAAAATAATTAATTTGTCCTAAAGTTGCTACATGTCATTTTATACGTGCAACACTTGGCAATATCTTAGGGCTGACTTCTTTCCTTTTAAGTAAAATATAGACAAACCACGAAATTATTCATGATGTCCATTTTCTTAATTTCTTGTTTGAACCTTTGGATAGAAGCCCTGCCAATACTTGTGTGAATACGGTCACCCTACAAAAATACTCAATTAGTTAAAATCACTAAGTTATTCCATATATGATTGTAATATACTTACGCATATGTAAATAATGCAAAATAGAAAGTAATCGTAAAGTTTAAAACAATACCTTTTCATCCATCAGAATAATCTCAATTGAAAAAGGGATATCAGGTTTGTCGTGATCCGAATTTTTCCAAATGTGACAATACAAAACTTTAATTTTTAATTCATTGTCTTGCTGTTACTTTCGGTAACGAAATTGATTTCAACCACCATTAAATCCTGAAATAGACATATGTATTTATAAATATAAGTAGAAGCTCCAACAAAATGCTTATAGAAACACATATGAGGCAATAAATCATCTGAAATAATAGACTTTTTGCTGATGATTCTCCAAATAATGCATGTGAAAGGCAACTATGGCACATGAGCAAGAATCTATGGTATGTGCCCAAGGTTGGTAAACAACAGTTGCCATAGATACCAGATCTTCTATATATAACATACGCCGTCAACAAACTTCACGAAAATTATCTGTTACAAAAATACAATCTCAATTGGGATAAAGATTGTTCATGAGGTGCAAATCATACCAATTAGCTCTTGTAGTCCAGAATTGTTGTTTGATATGCACACGAGAGAGAAAGAATAGAACTATGTACTATAAAAGTAGAAAACTGATTTGATAAAACTGTGAAATCATATTATTGGAATCCAGTGCAGAAGAATTCGTGGGTGAGGAGCTAAAATCGTGGTGAGAGATCGTGGGATTGAAGCGCCGAATTCGGAGGAAGATATTTTTAGGGCAAATATGCGAAAATGACGTTCCCATTTGCCGTTTCTTTAAAAACTATTATTGTTTCAAAAAGTAAAAACTACGGTTTCTTGAAAAAGATAATATATACCTATTCTTAGCAAATGTAGTACTTTCTAAATAACTTGCGAAGAAGATTTTAGGTTAAAATATCATGGTATAGCCAGTTTTTACACTGGTCAATGAAAAATAGCCAGCGTTTATCAAGTCAATGAAAAATAGCCACTATTTTGCTGCAACAGGGACCGGTCCAGTATAATATACGGGAGTTCTGGTGCATTTGTGTACGAACTCCAGCATATTATGCTGGACCGGTATACTTTGCTAACTCCTGTAAAATTTGCGGGAGAGTGGAGCACCAGTGCTCCAAACTCCAGTATATTATACTGGACAATTATACTTGCTGAAACTCCCGTAAAATTTGCGGGAGTTCCAGCATAATTATGGTTGAACTCCCGTAAAATTTGCGGGAGTTCCAACATAGTTATCCTGGAACTCCCGTAAAATTTACGGGAGTTCAAGCATACTTATGCTGGAACTCCCGTAAAATTTGCGAGCGTATTTTTCCGGATTTTGAACTGTGTTTTCGCTCAGATTTAAAGTTGCTAAATTTCGATGACTTTTGAAACTTGGCTATTTTTCAACAACCAGTGGTAAATCTGGCTATTTTTAAATCGGATCCAGCTACCTCTTTAACCAAACGGCGCCGTTTTACCCCCAAATAATCCCATCCGTCTATCTAATCTAATCCGACGGCCACGAACTAATTCCCCAACCCAAATATTTGAGAGACCCCCCAAACCCTAAGCAAGACCCCATTCTCTCATCTTCCTTACCTCTCCCAAATCCCCTCTAAAATCCTAGCCGCCCTAATTTCTCCAAACCCACTGACCGGCAGTCACCACCCCAAACCTCCTCAAACTTCACACTCCACAACTTCTCACACTCTCCTAATTCCTAAACCCCCATCCGATTTCCCCCAGAAAAACCCACCTAAACTTCCCCAAATTTTTTACGATCCTAGAAAANTCCCGTAAAATTTGCGGGCGTATTTTTCTGGATTTTGAACCGTGTTTTCGCTCAGATTTAAAGTGGCTAAATTTCGATGACTTTTGAAACTTGGCTATTTTTCAACGACCAGTGGTAAATCTGGCTATTTTTGAATTTCTCCCGGATTTCAGTGGCATAAAAAGCTAAAAAAAGACAAGAATAAGACAATGTTTCTAAGAGCCCGTGTGGACATAAGAAATTTTTCCCTTTTTTCAATTTTTTTTACCTTTTTTTCGAAATTAGCATTTGTTCATAAAAATTTCAATTTTCATATTGGAAATTTTAAAAAATTTCAATCACAAAACTTCAAAAACAAACCAAAATTCTATTCAATTCCAAACACAACTCTAAATTTCGAATAACATTTTTAATTTGAGAAACTTTTGCACCCTGTTTTGAAATTTTTACAGTTTATGACCAAACGCCCACTAAATAGCTTGTGAAGAAGCCAATTCCCGCTCAAAGGAAATACCGACACTCCTGACACGAATGGTTTTTCGGCTGCCGCAGCCCTACGGTGAAATAATCGGATGGACGACGTAGATCGTTTATTTGAATGCTTCAAATGCGGCATCTCTCCCCCTCGTAATCCCTCTTCTATTCCCTTTTGTTTTTGTGCCAATTACACTTCAACTGTTCCAAACTTTTCTTTTCTCTTAGGAGTAGATTGTTTCCTTATCCAGAGGTCTGAACCGCTATTTTTATTCAAAATAAAAAAAAAAAGCTTTGACTGCTTTGAAATTTTCGTTGTCATAGTTCGTCAAAAGGTTTTTTATTTTCTTTTGCAATAAATTGTAGTGAAATTTAATCTTTTTTGGTTTACAATTGTACGACTTAGCCAAAGGGTTGTGTTGAACCGCAATACCGCATAAGATCTGTCTTGACAATGGACTAATTCTGGATTGTATGTCTGTTGTTGCATGTTAGAATGGTTTACAAGACTTTGACTTTGATTATACTCTATTTGCAAATGAGGCTTAAAAGCAGGTAGAATAGCAATTTGAACTGCTTCAGTTCAGCAGCAAAAATAATGAAATCATCAAAGCTTAATTTTTTAAATATTCTGGTTTCCTTGTGGTATTTAGGATATCTGAAAGTGGGATGCTACTATGCTTTTTCTTGCTGTTTTGACCACATTTTAAGTGAATGCTAATTTTGATATTTCTCTATTTTGTGGTTGTCAATTTTTCTTATGCAAATTTTAGAATCAGCGATAAGAGAAAGGAAAAAGGGAAAGCGGACTGTGAAGCAAGATGATACATTGGAAAAGTTATCAACTCCTTCGGATGTTGAGCTCTGCCTACAGAATGTACATACTGTTCTTTTTTCTTTTTTCTTTTCTTAACTTTCATGGCTCCTTTTTCTTTCCCATTGATAATAAACTTCAGTTTCTTATTTCACATAGTTTCCTTAAATTGTATTTTAGTTTTCAAGCACATCCTATGCTATATAACACGGTGGGGTGGAACTATTAACTGAAATTTTATGATTCTTCTTGTAGTTGGGTTCATCAACAGCAAAGATACAAAGTGTTAAGAAGGGGCGGCAGTTCTCTCCCCTTGTATTTTATGGTTCTCCTCATGGAGTTCCTCCAAAAAGACCAGCTCGTCTATTGCGCCTCTTGAATGAAATCCGTGTAGATCTTAACGAGCAAAATAAATTAAGGTACTTGCAGATGATTCTTTTACCCCTTTTACCCATTAGTGATGGTAAGTGTTTTGCTAAAAGTCTTTTTTTTTTTTTTAATATTTAAAAATTGTAATAATCCCTGTGTTTAACTAGACAAGATATATGGGCCACATTTCCAAGGCAAGATGAAGCGATGAAGTATGCTAAAGAGCAATCAAATGCTCGTGTTTTCAGTTATCAGGATCATGTGAATGGTCAAAGGAGATTCCTTGTTTCCACATATAAAGAGTTCTGGAGAAGGTAAGTTTGTTCAGCTGTATCTGCTTTAAAATATGGCAAAAGATTATACCTCCCCCATGTTCTAAAACTTATTGTGTTTTATAATTTTGATTAGGTACGAAACTATGAATCCTATATTTCGGCACCACTATGAAGTAATCCAGGAGGTAATCTTTTGTAATTTATCACCACTGTGGAATGGCTTAGTGAAAATTCATCCCTGAAACTTTTGAGCTTCCCTTGATTTTGTCACAGGAGGAATTACAAGCTCTTGTATATTCAAATATAACTTGGGATCACAGTATCTTAGATTGTATGTGTATGTGTGTGTGTGTGTGAGAGAGAGAGAGAGATGCCTCTTCTATTTCTTATCTTATCAATAAAGAAAGAACTGCTGCTGTTGTCAACTGTTATGTCCTACTTTCATGGATTGACATGCCACCTGTACTGCCACTTCTGTTTTTTTTATGAGAGAGAGAGAGAGATCCATGCCACTCCTATTTTTTATCTGATCAATAAAGAAAGAACTGCTGCTGTTGTCAACTGTTATGTCCTACTTTCAGGGATTGCCATACGGCCATACCACCTCTACTGCCACATCTATTTTTTTATCTGATCCATAAAAAAAGAATGCTGCTGTTGTCAACTGGTATGTCCTATTTTCAGGGATTGCCATGCCACCTCTATTTTGATCTGGAGTTCAACAAGAGAGAAAATGCAGGTAAAAATGGAGATGAAATGGTTGACCTTCTGATACAGGTCATCTTTGATGCAGTCAAGGAAAAGTACTGTCTTGAAGGAAGCGATGACTGGGTTGTGGAGCTCGATTCCTCCAATGAAGGTAGGATGTTACATGTTAGTGGACTGTTCTATCTAGTATTTCAGCTGCGTGCAGTATGTTGTCGATATAATATGTAGGTATGCATGTTTGTATTTGTGTTTGTATATATGGATAATATATTGGTGAACGATCAGCCGATGGACTCGCACTGTTGCAAAGTACTTTTCTGACAATAGCCTAGTGTTTAGTGGGAGACATGTTTTCCACTCATTTCAATGGTAATAAGCTAGAATATCTGGCATGAAAGCCTGGTGAAGTGTATAAACAATTCATTCAACTCATTTTTATGCATGTGAAATTAGGATCCCACTTGGCAATATGGCAAAGAGAACTTTTTAGACTAAAGTGGAACATCAGGATGAGTTGTGATGCACCTATATGTCACTGTAATATTCTGGTCTTGCTTTCGCCTTACTCTGACTTGCTTTAATACCTGCATCGCTATTTGGTGACAGACTAATATCTCTGAAGTGGGCTTTAAGATGGTTAATATTGAAGAATAACTGTCTTCAGCACACCTTACTCTTGTGAAACTTTGGAACTCTTTCCTTGCTTATTTCCCAACTTGATATGATATCCACAGGAAAATGTTCTCTTTCTGTGGATCACATTTTCATTAGATCTCATGCTAATTTTCTGTAGCCCAGGATCTTCTAGTTGATGCACAAACATATTACTAAAAAAGATCTGCATTTAAAAGAGGAAGCAGGTTTAGACAAATCTGATTGTTTTGTGGATGAAGTTACTTTGGTGGATCAAATGAGGCACACGATGTGGTTAGGAACTGCACTGCAGTAAATAGTAGTATATGGGAGAATTATCACAGGATCTGATGCAGAAAACTTCTTTTTTAACATATTAGTAATATGGTACTACGAATTTTCTATGTTATCATAACTGATATTGACGTAGCGCTTTGCTGGCAGAAAAATTTTCTCGTCATTTAATTATTCGATTTCCAAAGGCTGCTTTCAAGGACAATTTGCATGCAGGTGCATTTGTTACAGAGGTATTATATTCATCGGCTTCATCCCGCTTTGGCCCTGTTTAATTTCAATTTGTCATTGTGTGCAGGTCAAACTTTAGGTGCTCAACTTGGATCCCACTTTTTCTTTAATTAATTCTTATGTCTAACAGCATTTGCATTGTTCATATCTTTTTCAAACGAATACTACTCCAAATTATTGGTCATTAAATTTTTTTCTTATTCTCTTCTTGAATGCTGAATCAATTATCAGTTCTTGTCGCCTATTGTCAGATATGCTCAAGGATCAGTAGCTTAAGTGAAACTGATGGAAGATTTAGAAAGCTTTTTGTCTCAAAGGATTCAAGCTTAATTGATATTCCACATCAACTGTTTGTGGATAAAGCTGTCTACTCTAGAAATCGCTGCTTTCGCCTAGCCCTGTCATCTAAAGCAGGGAAGAGTTCTGTGCTTCTGCCAAGTGGACGTTTTAAATGTAAGGACATGGTATGTAACTCTTTACTCTGATGGTGTTCCTTACGAGGTTGATTATGTTCTTCCGTGTGTATGATTTAGTCAATTAACCAGGTGAGTGGTAATCTGTAAGATCAACCTCAGATTTTAGCTTTAAAAAAGATTTTTGGTATTAAATGATGTTGAGAAAAGATCTATAGCATTTAAACCTAAATGCAGTTAAAGTTAAACCACATAACTACTAGGTTCATATTAGCATCTTATTTTGATATTGTGCTTCATGTACATGTCATTGCTCCACTTGCTTACTGCTTAGAAGCATTCCACTAACATTTTTCTACAGGTAATTTAACAAAAGTTATGAATCTAATTAGAAGCCATATCATCGAAATCCTCTAACCAAGCTGATTTTAAACTTCAATGGAAATAGCATAATTCAATAATTTGGCATCTCACTGTCTATTTCCGGAGCTTTAGTTGCTGACCATTTTCCAATAAATTTGTCAAATAAAACAAGCTCCGCTTTTCTACTAGCATAATTCAATAATTTCGCATCTCACTGTCTATTTCTGGAGCTTTAGTTGCTGACCATTTTCCAATAAATTTGTCAAATAAAACAAGCTCCGCTTTTCTATGAAGTACATGAGAGCACACAAGTTATGAGGTCTTTGCCGTTTTAACTTTTAACCAGTAAAGGTGGATAGGTTGCAGAATAAGATGGTTGATCAGGTAGGTTCATTGCATGGGACATCATATAAGAGAACTGATGTTTTTGGCTTCTATTGCAAAAGATTGCATAAAGATGTGTTTGTTAGCAGTTTAACTGAATGATCCTGAAGTGTTCGCATATGTAATAACCTATACCTGATATCTGTTGGAATAATGGAGAAGAGTTCAGAGGGATATGAGTCGAGCTACTTCAGTGGAGATCTCCAATGAGTCATCTCTTATTGAATAGAACTTTTTACTGACATCCACTACGTCTAGGTTGGCTGATTTCTTGAGTTTTCTTAGGGATGGCTGCTACTTATATTGACAATAAAGTCAATTTTCCTTTGAACTCTTCAGTTTAGCTGCCTTTGTTCCAGGACTAAATGGAACTTTTATTTTTCTACCAAGCGATTTATATGATTGGAGAAGCCAAATCTTCACTTTATAGATGAACCAGAAACCTGCAGAAAGTTCCTTACATAAGAAAGATTATGTATTATAAGCTGTTAAGTCATCGGAAAAGAATACCTAAAAGTCATTTCAATTTTACTTATAAAAAAAAAAAAGGAACCTGAATGTATATACAGTGAGTACTGGTCTCATATGTACTATAATTGGTACTCAACATAAAAAATAAAAAATGTAAGGAAAACACAAATCAATGAAAGAACATAAAACTTTTTAACATTACAGTGTAGTGTACTCAAACAGCACCACATAAATGATTAATTCTTTATATTCCTCCCTCTATTTGGGGAATATCTTCTCCTGCTATACTGCATCAGGGTGGGAGAAGACCAGTATAAAGTTAGGCGGAGGGTTATTATTTGTTATGACATACTGGAGGTTGTTGCCCCTTTTTACCTCTAAAAGTGCTAAATTTTACTATGTTCCAATTTGTATGGTGATATTTGATAGGGTATGAGTTTAAGATGTTACTTTAACTTGTATATTTATATTAATGGTAGTGGAACGAGATCAAATTTTAAAATTTGAGTAGTTAATTGAATTTGAATTCTTAACTTGTGAAAGTTATGTAGATAAAGATTATTACAAGAATGGTGTCGAAAATGTTGGAACATCCAAAATTGAAAGAGTGTCATAGACTGCAGTCTTGCTTAAATTAGTTGTACACATAATATATTACTTGCTCTAATAGCCAGCTAAAGCTGGCTTCTAAAAGTGGTTTTTCATGATTCGAGAAGCACAACAACAAAAGACCCAGTATAGTCGTCCCACAAGCAGGGTCTGGGGAGGGTAGTGTGTACGCATACCTTACCCCCTACCTTGAAGGTAGAGAGTCTGTTTCCGGTAGACCCTCGACTTAAGAAAAGATGAAAAGAAATCAGCAGTAACAAGCAGTAACAACACCAAGATAATAAGAAAACGAAGCGAAAGGAACAACATGTAGTAATCGAATCTAATAATAATAGAATACAAGACTAACACTAATACTACTGGTATGGGAAAGAAACACTCTCGACTACTTACTAGCCTTCTACTTTAATTCTCGTCATCCACACTTTCCTGTCAAGGGTCATGTCCTCGATAAGCTGAAGCAACGCCATATCCTGCCTAATCACCTCTCCCTAATACTTCTTTGGTTTACCTTTACCAGTGTTTTGAAAAGCGAGTGCTTCGTCGCTTTAAGCGCGAAGCGAGGCGAAGCGAAGCGAGAAGCTGTCGCTTTTTCCTTACTGAAGCGACACGACCAGCAGAAGCGATCGCTTCAGCCAAAAAAGCGAGAAGCGACCCAGAAGCGAGAAGCGCAGAAGCGCTTGCTTTTGTTAAGAGGGGCCATTTTGAAAAAGAAAAAAGTTTGGGTCTTTCTTTTTGTTATACAAAACAGACCCAAAGTGAAAAGACCTTCTTTGTCTTGCCAAAAATTGAGCGTTAGCAGCAGCAACCAACTAGGGTTCAGCCTCCAGGTAATTTTTCTCTTTTATTCTTCTTTCTTCTTCTGATGATGATGAACGTTAGCAGCAGCAGCCAACTAGGGTTCAGCCTCTAGGTAATTTTTCATCTTTTATTCTTCTTCTCTCTCCTCTTTTTCAGCTTTTCTCGACCAGTGTCTGCGCTAGGGCAGGCGTTGGTTTTTCCCCCCTTTTATTCTTCTTATATTAATTTTAATATGTATTTTAGTTTATAAAATTAATTATTTTATATATATATATATATATTATTTTCAGTTTATTTGATTTGTTTAATGTGTGTTTCAGTTTCTAAAATTAATTATTACTATATATTATGTTATATTTTCAGTTTATTTGATTAATTTTATATGTACTTCAGTTTATAAAATTAATTATATATATATGTTATATTTTCAGTTTATTTGATTAATTTTATACGTATTTTCAGTTTATAAAATTAATTATTATTATATATATGTGTTATATTTTCAGTTTATTTGATTTTTTAATGGGTATTTCAGTTTATAAAATTAATTATTATATATATGTTATATTTTCAGTTTATTTGGTTAATTTTATATGCATTTTCAGTTTATAAAATTAATTATTATATATATATATATATATGATATGTTATATTTTCAGTTTATTTGAATTTTTTAATGTGTATTTCAGTTTATAAAATTAATTATTATATATATGTTATATTTTCAGTTTATTTGATTAATTTTATATGTATTTTCAGTTTATTTGATTATGTATTTTCTTATATTAATAGGGATTTAAAAATGTCCCAAAGTTTTTGAATTGAATTTTTGGATTATTTATATTGTGTCTTTGCACTGTTTACATTATGTTTTTTAAAAATTGCGCTTCACTTCAATGAAGCGTGCGCTTCGCTTTTGAAGCGAGGCGAGCCCCTGTCGCTTTATTGCGCTTCTCGCTCTCAAAAACACTGACCTTTTCCTCTTCTCAGCCTACCAAGGTCTGTGCTTCTCCTTTTCACATACCCAAACCATTTAAGCCTCGCTTCCCGCATCTTGTCCTCCTCCAGGGCTACTCCTACCTTGGCCCTAATGTCTTCATTCCTAATCTTATCCATCTTGGTATGCCCGCACATCCATCTTAACATACTCATCTCTGCTACTTCCATCTTCTGGACATGGGAGTTTTTGACTGGCCAACATTCTGCTCCGTCCAACATAGTCGATTTAACAACCACTCTATACTTACTTTTAAGTTTAGGTGGCGCATTCTTATCACATAAAATACTGGATGCAACAACAACTTCATATCCAGTATTATCCCACACAGTGGGGTCTGGGAAGGGTAGTATGTACGGCGTACGCAGACCTTACCCCTACCTTGTGAGCATAGAGAAGCTATTTCCAATAGACCCTCGGCTCAGGAAAGCATAAACACCACATTAATGAAAATATAGACAAGAAGAGACAGTACCAAAAAGCCATATAAAAGCAGAATAAAAACAACAAGATAGTAAGGTGATCAACAATGAAAGAAAACAACGGTTACAAAAAATACTAGATGCGAGCCTCCATTTCACCCACCTTGTTCCAATACGATGTATAACATCCTCGTCAATCTCCCCATTCCCTTGGATAATAGACCCAAGATACTTGAAACTATCTCTCTTAGGAATGACTTGTGTATCAAGCCTCACGTCCACGTCCGCTTCATTGGTTCCGTCACTATACTTGCACTCCAAGTATTCTGTCTTGGTCCTACTCAACTTGAAACCTTTTGACTCCAGAGTCTGTCTCCAAACTTCCTATCTCGCGTTAACACTGCCTTGTGTCTCATCAATCAGTACAATGTCATCCACGAATAACATACACTATGGCACCTCCCCCTGAATATGGCGCGTCAGTGTGTCCATCACCAAGACACAAATGATTAATATTTGATGCACTCTACATCTGCTGCTCCCTATATTTCTACAACGTGTTACATTTCAATATATGTTGGCGCAAAATATTCTAGACAAGGAAATGGGAAGTATGTCCACGGTTGTTAAAAACCATCTATGAAAACCGTGTACTATGCTTTACATGTGATATGTGCTTGTAGTTTAACCCAGAGACTTTTCAATTTATGACAGACTAAGGAAGAAGTGTTTATGGCATCCTTGATTTGCAAGATAGATGCTGATTGTGAGAAGCTACTCATCTGCAAAATGGATCTAGATTGCGTAAAGGCCCTTCAATTTGATACGGAGGTAGCTCCACTTACGTACTACTAGTAGCACTTAGTTTTCCTCACTTCAGAATATGTTTTTCGTGTTGTGGACTTTATTTTAGCCCCTCTTGGATTTTTATTTTTTTTGAAATATAGAAATAAGTTCATTAACTACCTAAATATGAACTCTATCCTGACACCAGAGGCAGTAGTCAGATCTTGAGTTGTAACTGCTGCCATCATTTAGGGAAAAGCTCTGATTCCTTCCACTAAAGGGCTCAATGTTGTCTCATATGCAGAGTACCGAGAGTTTCCAACTGCATTCTGGTGTTTCATTGGACTTTGACCTAAATGCTTGTACAAGCGATCCCTCGAGAACTTATTTGATGGGAAAATCACCATTCCCATCTTTGGATATGTTTGTAGAGTCTGTTGCTTCAATCGGAAATATACCAGGTGACACCTAAATATTCAGCTTCTTTAGAGCAGACAAACATGGATGACTTGATTTTCTTTTCTCCCTCTACCCCTTTTCTTTTTTACTATTAGCATGCGTGCTTTTGTTGAATAAATGATTGTGTTGCACATGAATAGTTTGTTTCTTTTTATATCTTGTGTTTTACGTTGTCCTATGAGTACATATTGTAATTACCCATTGCAATTATCTCCATTTTCTTCATACTAGGAAGTTCTGTAAATGCATTAGTATATTACGTATTTAGTTGCCCATCCCTTCATGTAAAGGTTTTGCAAAAAACCCAGCAAATTGTGACTGATCCTTCCTCCCTTTCTTGTCTTTTTTCTTACTACATAGGAAGAGAGCATTCATTGGGTGTTTCCTAGGCTCCCACCCATATTTTGGTTGGCTACTGATTTAGACTGTTATCACAATACTGGTTGCTCTTTCAGTTCTTCTGTATTTTGATGTGTCATTTGGTTCATGGATAAGTTATACAAAGATTATAGCCACTTGATAGTTGATAACGTTCATATGCTTGTCTCAGTGATTAGGTCATGCATGTGTAAGTATGAATTAATTCAGATAGTGAAACACTGAATTGACTCATAATATCAGTTATAATTTGTTTGGTGGTATCTACTACTCGAATAACCATAGTTTCTAGAGTTAATACATGCAACAAACCCGAATTTTGGAAGGGATGCATTCATTAGATAAAAAGTTGACGCGGGCTCTGCCTGTTGCTGCAATGATTCATGATAACTCGACGTATCGCATGACTATCGTGCCAGCGATGCTCATTCAAATTTTTGCCTATCAACTTTTGGTGGTAGGATAATGGCCTACTGTCACAGGGTCGATTTTTATGCCCGAGTTTCTTCCCGAGGTTCGCCCACTGTGAGGCAGTCAATGACTTAGCCTTCATCAACATTTAAACTTTTTAGGGACAGATTTTTTTTAGCACAACAAAGTAAGGACACAATAGATACGGGAAAATTCCGGACCCTTGCAATAATATCAAAATATACAAAGGACCCCTCACTTGTTATAACCACAAGTCGGCTACAACTCATCTTCAACTTCGACTAGGCACAATCACACGTCTATTGCTGCCTTTCAACACTCTCTCGAAGCCCTCACGTTTCTTTCTAGTGTTCCTTAGTGAAATTACAAGTCTTTCACCATCTGGTTTCGTCTAAGGCCAAGTCAGTATATTTATAGCACATGTGCCAGCCTTTGGCTTACAATAAATAGGCTTACAACACTTGTCGGGCTCATGGCCAATAAGAACTAATGTGCAGTTGACATCCCCCAACTGCCTAGGCATTCAAATTTCAAATTACAAAGGTGATGGAAGACTTTAGGAATCTGGTCACAAGCCGTTACAACCGCCCAACTGCTCCATGTGTAGTGCATGTACGTTTTGTGCTCAGTTGCTGCGCGCGCCCAAGGCAGGTATTGCACCCAGTCTTGGACCTTCAACATTGCTCATCCCCAATGCCATGCCCGCAAATTGCTGCCATGATTTAGCCGCACACGTCCGGCGCTACTGCCACTCGTACATGTTTTGACCGTATTTCACTTTGTCGTGCCAACTCTTGTTTCCCTTGTGCCATTCATTAGCTTTCATCTTGCCTTGCCTTTGCTTTTCCTTTCTAGCCTTTTCATTAGCCTGCCTTGATTTGCCTACACTTAGTCCTACCTTGGCACATGCCACAAGCTAGTGTCCCACTACCCTTGCCGCCCGGTGTCCATGCCATGACATGGTGCACCAGTCTGCGCATATGGATTGCAACTTAGGCAATGGCGCCTACATTGCCTACATGATTGCCATGTGTATCTCTATGACTAAACACTTGTTGTTTATATTTGAGCACTACTAGAATCTGAGTCTGCTTTCATGGTTTCTAATAGATTAAGTCCTAATGCTTGATTTGAAGGTCAGTACTTGTGGATCTAGCCACCTATTGGTTTGACTTGCAGTTCAGGGCTTGAGCAATGTTGCACTTCTGTCGGATCTTCGTTGCTTGGGTTTGCTATCCATTAAGTATTATTTAGGGTTGTGATCATGGTGAGGTTTGGTCATATTCTGTAATGAGGGATGGGTGTTGTGATTTTAAGCCCACAATGATGTATTCCTTAATTGGCAGTATATTTGCTTAAGTGACTGTTCAGAAATTCATTTGTTCAGTTGTTCATTTATTTTGTTAAAGCTATAGTACTGTTTAGTCTTGTTTTCTGTTTGTAATTTGGAGTTGCAACAGTAGAGGCAATGAACAATTGTGTTGGAATTCTTGTGTCAAAATCTTAGATTTGAAGGCATCTGTCCAAATCTGTTTGATTGCCTTTCTTAATATAAGTGTGCATTTGTATTAACTTTGGTCAATAGCATAGGTGTTAGTGTTCTGACTCGATGCCAATTTTTGATATTCTGTAAAAATCATTTGTGTTAGCCAAGTCGCTTGGGATTTAGATCAAAGAATCTTTGCCGATTACCAAACCACCTGATGGTAACGTATTGAATTTGTTTGAATCCTTGCACTCCTTGGTTGGTATATGCTAGTACATTGAAGTTGTGTAAATGAATGCATGTCTTTAAACTTTAATGGGCAGTGAGCTTGAGTGATCTCGCTGGTTCATAAAATTAGTTTTTGTAATGTTTAGTTTAGTGATGCACGGGACAATTGACTTCCATAGATCATGGCCTCAAAATAATCTTATTTAGTTTTAGGAAAATCATAAACATCGTAGCTTGCTTTAGGCGCGATCAATAAAAATCATTGTGGTTTTGGGTACGGTTCCCGTGGTATAGTCATGATACATAATCCCCAATTCGAGTGTGCGTTTCACGTGACTCGACTATAACTTCAAATGATAATAAAATTAAACATGTTGTAGATTGTGGGTACGGTTCCGCGACGCGATTCGCAATGTGTACCAAACAAACGAGTNCATGTACGTTTTGTGCTCAGTTGCTGCGCGCGCCCAAGGCAGGTATTGCACCCAGTCTTGGACCTTCAACATTGCTCATCCCCAATGCCATGCCCGCAAATTGCTGCCATGATTTAGCCGCACACGTCCGGCGCTACTGCCACTCGTACATGTTTTGACCGTATTTCACTTTGTCGTGCCAACTCTTGTTTCCCTTGTGCCATTCATTAGCTTTCATCTTGCCTTGCCTTTGCTTTTCCTTTCTAGCCTTTTCATTAGCCTGCCTTGATTTGCCTACACTTAGTCCTACCTTGGCACATGCCACAAGCTAGTGTCCCACTACCCTTGCCGCCCGGTGTCCATGCCATGACATGGTGCACCAGTCTGCGCATATGGATTGCAACTTAGGCAATGGCGCCTACATTGCCTACATGATTGATTTATCCCGCACATAGGACCATGACAAGGTCAATCATGCCAACCCTTTGCCGCCACCATGCCATCTGCCAAGTCAAAGAGCCAAGCCCTAACAAACTCGACGTCCTCGTCGAGGACAGATTCACCTTGGGACTAGTATTTTTATTGGGTGCATAAAAATGCCTCAATTTCTGGTTCCCCTTCTTCTACCACTGCTGTGGTATTTACTCTCGATCTTGCGTTCTTCTCTTTGTTCAACTTTGCAGTAAGTAGAGCATTCACCCGTGATTGTAATGGGCAGTCTCTCTTCAAGTGTGGCCCGCTGCACGCAAAGCAACATTTGGACTTGCCACCCTTCTTTGTACCATACCATAGGAAGTCTTCGCTTGCTTTCCTTTCCCAGTATTCCCTTCATCTACGGCAATATGGCCCTTCCCGTTTTTCTTCGCTTCCTTCACTTTGTCCTTAAACTTGGAATGTGAATTTTCCCTAGGGTCATCACCCTCATCGAAGTCAGCCAACCCATCTGCCATCGCGATAGCAGAGGAGAGATTTTGGACATTCTGCCTTCTCAACTCTCGTTGCGCCCAAGACTTCAACTCGCTCATGAAATAGTGCAACTTGTCTTCTTCTGCCATGTTGCCTATATTGAGCATCAAGGAAGTAAACTCCTTGACATATGTCCTCGCAGTGTCGCTTTGCTTCAACCATCGCAGCCTTTCCTTGCAACCCATGACGAGTTGTTCGGAAGGAATTGGGATTTTAATTCCTTCTTCAACATTTCCCTACTTTCAGTACGTGGCAGTCATGCACTTTCCACTTCCGCAGCCATTATCCGCCATCAAACGTTGGCATCATCACCGAAATACATAGTTGTGACTGACACCTTCTTATTGTCCGACACCTTTGCTACTTGGAAATAATTTTTCATATCCCAAAGGAAGTTTTCCAACTCTTTGGCACTCCGCACGCTGTTGTACGCGTTTGGTTCTGGCATCTTTACTCTTGCAAGCTCCTCACCTCTAGGGATAGTGTTTTGCAATGCCCTTCGAAGTAAGAGTACTTTTTATTTTATTTTTTATCAAAGGTCCATCATTATGATGGAGGAGTTAGGAGTACTTCCCTATGCAGTTCTTCCTTTTCTTTGTGAATCATTTCCATTTCTGCCATGGCAGCCTCATGCCTCGCCGCATGATCTGCCTCTAAACGTGCCATTCTCGCAAGAACTGAATCATCTTTGCCTGTTTCAAGGGCCTGCCCAAAAAGTGTTTCCAATTGTTTCACCCTTTGGCGAAGTTCTGCAATCGTGCCGCCCGCCATCCGGCTAAGTCCGCTCCCTTAATGTGCGCTCTAATACTAGTTGTCATAGGGTTGATTTTCTATGCCCGAGTTTCTGCCCTAGGTTCGCCCACTGTGCGACAGTCAAGTGTAGACTTGACTCAACCTTCGTCAGTGTTGTAAAAAACGACCGCTTCCTCGCTTAAAGCGAGAAGCGAAGCGAGGCGAGGCATCCGACGCTTCTCTTAAGTGAAGCGTATCAGATTTACAAAAGCGCTCGCTTCCCCTGAAAAAGCGAGTAGCAATGAAGCAATGTGAAGTAAGAAGTGAGCGCTTCTCTTTATAACTGGTCTGCCAACGTATTTAATTAAGAAGGCTGTCTTTTTTTAAAAGACCATTGAGCAGCAACAACAGAGAACAACAGAGGCGACCTAGGGTTGATGTTTTCTACACTTTTCAACTTCAAGATCAAGTTTGGTCCCAGTTATGTGATTTCTTCTTCCTCCTCCTCCTCAACCTTCTTGTTCTTCTTCTTCTTCTTCTTTTTCTTTTTCTTTCACTGTTTCAGTGTCCAAATAGCAACGAAATGTAGGCGAACTTTTTTTCCCCTTCAGTTCTTCTTTCTCATTCTTCTCCTCTTCTTCTTCATTTTCTTGCACTGTTTCTGTTATAAAAAGATTGAAATGCGCCCATTTTTTCGTTTCAGTTATACTGCCCTTTTTCGTATACTTACTACATTTTTTCATATCATTTATTTTTAGTTCTTATTGCCCTTCGTATGTGTTATGTAGTTGTTCTTTTTAATGGCACCAAAAGAAGATAGGAAAGACCCGGCTTGGGCTTATTCTACAAGAGACCAACAAGATGGCAATTAGATGTCTTTTTTGTGACAGGATTTTGAAGGGGGGAATCTATCGTCAAAAAGCGCATCTAATCGGTGGTGATCCAGACGTCGCATCTTGTCCTGGAGTTCCGCCGCATGTGAAGGAAGAATTGAAAGCATACCTTAAAAAAAAAGAGAGTTAAAGACTCAAATGCATCATGAACAAGAACTGCATAATATTTTTTTCGTAAATTCCGCTTTACTTCAAAAAAGTGAGCGCTTCGCTTCTCGCTTTAAGCGAAAAGGGGCTTGTCGCTTTTCCTCGCTTCACGCTCTTCACAACACTGGCCTTCGTCAACGTTTAAACTTTTTAGGGACTTAGTTATTTTTAGCACAACAAAACAACCTTTGCATTAATATCACAATATACAAAGGGGGTCACTCGTTATGACCACAATCGGCCACAACTCAACTTCAACTTCGACTAGGCACAATCACAAGTCGATTGCTGCCTTTCAACACTCTCTCGAAACCCTCACATTTCAACCTAGTGTTCTGTAGTGAAATAGCAAGTCTTTCACCGTTTAAGGCCAAGGCTGTACATTTATAGCACATGTGCCAGCCGTTGGCTTACAACAAATAGGCTTATGACACTTGTCGAGCTCAAGGCAAATAAGAACTAATGTGCAGTTGTCATCCCAATAGCCTAGGCATTCAAATTTCAAATTTCAAAGGTGCCGCAAGACTTTAGGAAACTATTCACAAGTAGTTATAACCGCTCAACTGCTCTATGTGTACTGTATATGTGTTTTGTGCTCAGCTACTACGCGCCCCCAAGGCTGGCATTGCGCCCAGTCTTGGTCCTTTGATAACTGCTCCGCCGCGATGCCAATGCCGTAACCTGCCGCCCATGATATAGCCGCACACGTCCGATGCCACTGCCACTCACACATGTCTTGGCCGTATTTCACTTTGTCGTGCCAACTCTTGTTTCCCTCGTGCCATTCTTTAGCTTTCATCTTGCCTTGCCTTTCCTTTGTCCTTTCTAGCCTTTGCCATTAACTTGCCTTGATTTGCCCACACTTAGTCCTACCTTGGCACATGCCACAAGCTAGTGTGCCACTGCCCTTGCTGCCCGGTGCCCATGCCATGTCATGACGCACCAATCTCCCCATATTGTTTATTGTTAACTGAGCAATGCTACCTACATTGCCCACATGATTGATTCATCCCGCACATAGGCCTATGACAAGGTCAATCATGCCATCCCCTTGCCGCTACTGTGCCATTTGCCGAGTCAATGAGCCAAGCCCCTAACACCTACCATGGTGGTGATGGGTAACAGAGAATTAGGATTTAATTCCAGAGTGGGAGCCTGAGAAACGGCTATCATATTCGCAGCAGGTGCGCAAATTACCCAAGCCTGACATAGGGAGGTAGTGGCAATAAATAGCAATACCTGGCTTTTTTTGAGTCTGGTAACTGGAATGAGTACAACCCAAATCTCTTAACAAGGATCCATTGGAGGGCAAGTCCGGTGCCAGCAACTGCGTATATTTAAGTTGCAGTTAAAAAGTTCGTAGTTGGATTTCGGGATGGGCTGGTTGGTCCTCCCTAGGTGTTCATTGGTCATCTCGTCCCTTTTGCTGGCAATGCGCTTTTGGCTTTAATTGATTGGGTCGTGCCTCAAGCGTCGTTAATTTGAAGAAATTAGAGGTGCTCAAAGCGAGCTTACCCTTTGTATACATTAGCATGTGATAATATTATAGGATTTCGGTCCTATTACATTTACTTTCGTGATTAGAGCAATGATTAACAGTGATGGTCGAGGCTTCGTATTTCATAGTCAGGTGAATTCTTGGATTTATGAAAGAAGAACAACTGTAAAAGCAATTGATAAGGATGTTTTCCTTAATCAAGAATGAAAATTGGGGACTCGAAGAACATCAGATACCGTCCGAGTCTTAACCATAAACAATGTCGACCAAGGATCGTTTGATGTTGCTTTTAGGACTCCACTGGCATCTTACGAGAAATCAAAGTTTTTGGGTTCCAGTGAGAGTATAGTCGCAAGGCTGATACTTAAAGAATGAGAGTATAGTCGCAAGGCTGATACTTAAAGAATTAGCAGAAGGGCAGGAATAGAGCTTGTGGCTTAATTTGACTCAATACAAGAAAACTTACCAGGTCCAGACATAGTAAGGATTGACAGATTGAAAGCTCTTTCTTGATTATATGGGTAGTGGTGCATGGGCGTTCTTAGTTGGTGAAATGATTTGTTAGGTTAATTTCGTTATCAAACAAGAACTTAGCCTGCTAACTAGCTATGTGGAGGTATCTTTGCTGCTAGCTTCTTTGAGAGACTGTCATTTTAAGCACGGAAGTTTGAGGCAATAACAAGTTTGTGATGATGCCCTTAGATGTCCTAGGTGGCACGTGCACTACGCTGATGTATTCAACGAATTTATAGCCTAGGTCGACATGCTCGGGTAATCTTTGAAATTTCATTGTGATGGAGATAGATCATCACAATTGTTAGTGTTCAGCGAGGAATTCCTAGTAAGCAGAAGTTATCAGCTCGCGGTGACTACGTCCCTGCTCTTTGTTACCATCACTCGTCACTCCTACTAATTGAATGATCCGGTGAAATGTTCGGATCGTGACTACGTAGGCAGTACACTGATCAACGTTGCGAGTAGTCCATAGAACCTTATCATATAGGAAATGCTTAGTTCGTCGTATTAACATTTATGTATGATTTATATCATCTAAAACATTTCTTTGGTTTACATCAAAATAGGATGGTGGAGATGGTGAAGCATTTCCAAAATGTTATGCATTAGGAGGATACTTACCAAAGACAAGTTATATAAAATTGTTGTAAGACCAATAGCGTATATGGGAGTGAATGTTGGGTTTTCATGGTCTAAGACACTAACATATCCATAAGATGAGTGTTGCAGAAATACAAATGTTAAGGTGATTATGCAATTAGAAATGATCACATACAAGTAAAGCCTATGATAGAGGATAAAATGACAGAGGGCCGTTTGAGATTGTTTGGTCATGTTCTATGTAGATCTCCGGATACTGATCCATAGGGGAGAAATCAGGATGATTGAAGGCGTTAATATGGTGGACAAGGTAGCTCTCACATAGAAGAAAATTGTCTCAAAAGACCCACAAACAAAGAAAATTAACTCGAAGAACCTAGAATCTCTTGGAATCATATAGAATAAAGTTGTTTCAAAAGACCTACAAAAAAAAAGTTGACTCGAAGAACGTACAATCTCTTGGAATCTGTATAGATTTAGCAAAAAGAACACTATGGAAGAAGAATATACATACATGCAATACCAACTAGTTGGAAACGGGATGAAGCTTAGTCATGTTGGTAAACTTACTAAGTCCAACTTCTGCTTAGAGATTTTATATCTTGTTACATATTTTTATGTCATTAGAAAATTGTTAGATAGTTAAGTGTAAATAGCCCTAGTCCTATATGTAGTAGGAGTAGAATATGTCCTAGTCCAATATGTAGTAGGAGTAGAATATGTATTATATATAGGGCTCATTGTATCATTGTTAATAATTAGAGTTTTCTCCGGTGCTTTCTCACAGAAATAAAGAGAACCTCTAGTATTAGAGAAACTAAAGTATTGAACATTAGAATGAAACATGTTCAAAAGGAGCAATACGGGGAGTGAGGATTCATATAGCGGACACCAACTAGCTTTAGATCGAGGCATAGTAATTGCTGCGAACTACCTGGCTCATGACTGTCTTCATTGTTTTGATGTCTGGGTGTCAAAGCTAGTGTTGTAGTTCTAGTTTTGTATTTGTCAATGCTTAAAAGCTTTAGTAGTTCACATGTGTTAAAGTGCAAAACTACAGATTACTGCTTACTTTCTCTATTACATTCTTTCCAGGAAAAATCCGAAGTTGGTACTGGTTCTCTGAGTATGCATTGATGGTCTACAGCATGTCTAGAAATAGATACTGTGAAAGAATTGGCAGACAACATAAAAGCAATCATGGTAATGCTTCACAAACTTTACTTTTGCAAGGAAAACTTTTGGTAGTAGTCACATCTGTTTGAGCTGCTACTCTCTGCTATTTCTATTTCTCATCCAAGGGCACCTTGCAGGACATGTTTTTGTTTTCATTATTGGTAACATCGGATATAGTTGTCCTCTGATTATCTCTTACAGAGTTTAGATAGATTCTATGCAACAACAACAATAAACCCAGTGAAATCCCACAAGTGGGGTCTGAGGAGGGTAATGTGTACGTAGACCTTACCCCTAGCTTATGAGGGTAGAGAGATTGTTTCTGGTAGACCCTCGGTTCAAGAACAGAAAGGGATTAATAAACAAACAATAGCAACAACAATGTTTAGATAGATTCTATGCATTGGCATTTTTTTTAATGTTCCCCCTTTTGGTTCTGTTTTGCTTTTTGCATGTGGTCTCAGTTATATACGTAGTTGATCTGAGAAGGGCTGTTTATTATCAGAAGTGCCACGATCCTGATTGCAGAGGTAAATGATATTCTTGTTTCCTTCATCAGTTAAACCTTTTGGCTAAAAATTAACTGACTAGTCGCCTTTATTGATGTTAATAGGCTACCGATCTCCCTTGCGACCTGTCCCGGATAATGTTATACCTCATTCATCCATTTCCGTCAATCTGCCTGGACATAATTTGGATTGGGGGCAGCCAACTGTAAACAGTGACGAAAGCATTTTCAGCAGCTGTAAGAAAGAATGGTGGCTTGAAGCCATAAGAGTTGCAGACAGCGTTGAGAATGTACAAAAGGCATTGGATCTTACTGAGGTTGTTTATCTTCACCTTCCAGCTTCTTGTTGTGGATTTTATTTATAGATATACACTTTTTTTAATTCTAGGAACAGTAGCTCCCACAGGTGTGACTTCTCATCATGGTTAGGATGTCTAATGAATCTCAGATCTCAGGGAAAATTGATACGGTAGGATCTAATTGAGCAAAACCCAAACTTTAGGTGATACTGAAGCTCAGTAGTTGAATGACCCAAAGGGTTGGGATTTTCTCCCGTTCTTTTTAGTTCCCTTCTCTTTTTATTTTTTATTTTTTATTTTTTTATATAAATAGTCAATACTGCCGTTCAGTTCAAATGTTAGTCGTGCTTGTGTCAGAACAGAACTAAGACTTTATGAGTTAACTTGCTAGTGGGCATTTATCAATATGTGATGCAACTCTAGAACAAGAATTTATTTTCTGTCTTTTCCTCTGTTGCGCGAACTAGATGAGTCTTACTACCTTCTTTTAATTTGTCACTGAAAGCAGGATAGAACCTGTGAAGAAGATGAGTGGTTGATGGCTGTTGAAAGGACTGCATACCAGTCAGAGCAATCATACCTGGGAAAAGCTTAGCCATTTCAGCTCTTGGCAAATGTTTATTACCCTTTTTTTCCCTAAAATTGTTACATTAAATGCTGAACTGGGGATTTCCAGGTCCAGCTAGTTGGCGTTACTAGTTTCCCCAACCACATCACACATTGTGTATGTTCTGTTAACTGATGGCCTCTCAATTTTGTCTATTATGCAGCAAAGCAGTGCTTGGTGGAAAGCTAAATATATATGTATTGCTACATTCCAAGTTTGTACATGCATTGTGGTGCTCAAACGGGTTTGAATGTTAAGACTTCTATTAATTAATGAAGGCCTGCAAATTTTATAAAAATCAAGGAATATCACAACCTTCTATATCAATTTGATTCGCGTGCCCGACAGATCTCTTATTTCTCCTTAGTCTGAGATTTTGAACTAATTTGTCCGAAGCTGTGTAAAAGGAGCGAGAGAACTGGAAGTTTCTTGGGAAATAATTTAAGCAACAAATGGAGAGGAAAAAAATGAGTGTTGGGTGCATGGTGAATTTTTCTCTTGAATGTGTGATTTTGTCTCCAGAAAATGTGGCGGTTAACGAGGTAAATCTATTGCAATTTCGTTTCAAGACCCGAGGAAAATATACAGGAAAAGGTAAGTATAATTAACATATCCAGTAGGTAAAAAGTTGCATTTAATAGTTAGAAATTAGTTTCAGCTATTTTGTAAATGCCATGCATTTTGAATTGGAGATTCCTATTTTATTTTCGAGTAATATTTAAACTTGAAAGATAGAGTTTACACATTCTGGTTCCAAACAATAGTAATTGCATCTTAGAAGCGCCTTTTGGTTTCTATTTGCTTATTGTTTAGCTAAGACAAATCAAAGATAATTGAAGTGAGTCCATGAATTTTCTGATATAATAATGCCCTATAGTAATGTTTTTGTGGTTGTCATTGTATTTATAAAGCAGTACATAAGTATAAGAGACAAGAATACCCTTATTTAGAAGGGTAATATACAACAATTCCTAGACTAACATGCTAAAAGATACATGTATATTATCACGTCCCGTCAATCGAGTGTGGGAACATGCAAAGTTTGTGTTGAAGAGTCTTAAATCGATGAGAGGATAGGCCCTTGGTAAGAATGTCAGCCGAGTGACGCGAACCATACTTACTCTGAGAGAGATGCAAACCATTCCCCAACCGAGTGACGCGAATACCCAAAAAATAATGAAGATCACCAAGATCAGTAATAGAAAATTCAGAGTAAAGTAATCTAGAAAACCAGGATATTAAGCTAGGATCGGAGCCTGTCAGTACGATATCATCCACAAATAATAACAAGAAAATATATTGACCACCAGATGAATAACAAACATAGATAAATCTGCACGGCTATTCTGAAACCCATGTGATAGTAGAAAGGAACCAAACCGACTAAACCACACAGGAGGCGCCTGCTTGAGACCATATAATGCCTTATGTAGTTTGCAAACATAGTCTGGTCAGACAAAATCAATAAACCCCTGTGGCTGCTCCATATAGGCAGACTCATGCAAATAACCATTAAGAATGCATTTTTTATATCAAACTGATAAATAGACCAACCACGAGAATAGAGAGTACTAGGCGTATAGTAGTGGGACGAACAACAGGACTAAAGGTCTCACCATGATCCATACCAGGTGCCTGAGTATAGCCCTTGGCTACTAATCTCGCCTTACAATGATCAAGAGAGCCATCAGACTTCTGCTTAACTCGATAGACCCATTTGCAGCCAACAACATTAACACTAGATGGACGAGGAACAAGAGACCGCGTCTGGTTTGCAAGTAAGGCATTGAACTCTTCTGCCATAGCACTCCGCCATCTAGCATCCTTAGGTGTAGAGCTGAAACAAGTAGGCTCAACAGGCAAATTAGTCAAAGACATAGAATTAAGAGCATACTTCGGATTTGGTTTAACTACACCACACTTAGATCAAGTAATCATGGGATGAGCAGAATCAGAGATTGAAGGTGATGGCTCAATAGTGGAGGTGGATATAAGACATGAATCAGTACTAGACAACGGCAAGGAAGAGGAGTCTAAGGAGCTAGGAGGAAGGGAAAATAAATAGGAGATTCAACAGAAGAAGAAGGGGACACGGAAGTAGTGGCAGAACTAGAATACTCGGGTGCAGTAGGCGTAGGACTAGGTAACGCAGCAGGTATAGGGAGGAGAACACGGGGCACAGAAGGACGAGGAGGTAGAAAAGCAGATAAATTTGCATATGGAAAACAATGCTCAATAAGCGAACAAAGCGACCAATATAGACACGGTTAGTATCAAGATGTAGTCACCGATATCCCTTGTGACTAGAACTATACCCTAAAAACACGCAAGGAGAAGAAGGAGAGTCAAGTTTGTGAGAACGATAAGGACGCAAATTAGGATAACAAAGACACCCAAAAGGTTTTAAAATGGTATAGTCAGGTGGAACCCCAAATAGGTTCTCATAGGGAGAGAGCTTAGCTAGGGAAGAAGAAGGAAGACGATTAATAAGATGAACAACAGTGAGAAAGCTTCAACCCATAAAGAAAGAGGGGCATAAGCATGAAAAAGTATAGTGCGAGTAACATTTGTGATATGACGGTGCTTACACTCAGCTACACCATTTTGCTGAGCTGTGTGAGGACAAGATAATTGATGATGAATACCATGCGAGCGGAGAGAAGAGATAAAGGAAGAACTTTGATACTCGCCCCCGCCATCTGAACGAAATGTCTTAATAGACCCGCCAAATTGATTTTCAACAAGAAGTTTAAGATGGGCAAAATAAGATATGACATCACTTTTATGACGAAGAGGATAAATCCATGTGTAACAAGTGAAATCATAAATAAAAAGAACATAATAATGATAACCACTAACTGAGGGCACAAGGGATTGCCAAACATGATAATGAATTAACTCTAAAACATAAGAAGTAGTTGAAGTACTAAAGAAAACGACAAAGCCGAATGTTTAGAGCTTAAACAAGAATTACAAAAAAAAAAAGATTTAGAAAAAGGCCTAGACAATGAAATTAACTTTCTAGATCTAAGTAAGTCTAAGACAACATGACTTGGATGCCCCAAACGTGCATGCCAAATAGAACTAGAGTCATGTAGAGCAGCAAAGGTTGATGGCTGAGCAGACGATGACAATGCAGAGGAAGACTGAAAAGGATAGAGAGGCCCATCAGTGCGGGAGCGATGCAGAACTTTCCCCGTCGCCAAATCCTTAACATCAAAACCCCAAGGAAGAAAGTTAATACCACAATTATTTTCTTTGGTAAATTGATGAACAGATAATAAATTCTTGCAAAGATGCGGAACATATAAAGCGAGGGACAAAGTAAAGGAGCAAGAAGGAGTAGAAAGAGAAGAAGAATCAACACCACTAACGGAAATACGAGTACCATTACCAACCAAGATAGAATCATTTGAAACAGGAGAAAAGGAAGAGAGATTACCCAAACCATTAGTCATGTGTGTGGTTGCACTAGAATCCAAGTACCAATTCTTGTCTGGAGGGGACTGCAATGATAGTGCTTCCATATTCACCTGAAGACTAGGAGCAGTATAAGCATTGTTATGGCGCTGAGGACAAGCAAGTGCCGTATGACCAGAAAGATCACAAAACTAACAAATCACAGTAGTAGAAGTGGGAGTAGGAGCCACAAATGCAGGCAAGTGATAAGGTGAGGGAGCCAAGACACCACGACCAGAGGTAGAATGCTGGAAAGGACCACCACGAGAAACTGGGAAAGGTGACGGGCTATAATGAAACTGTGAAATATTGCCACGACCATAATCTTGAGCACGACCTCGGCCACGCCCACGATACTAGATCAGGAGAAGGCAAAGTACGAGCCTCATGAGTAAGAAGCATCTTACACAACTCAGAAAATCGAGAAGCAGGACGCATGTGCGAGGCTATGATCACAAAAGAGTCATAAGACAACGGAAGTCCATTCAGAGCACATCGAACCAACTCAGAGTCATTAACACTACGGCCAATAGAGTGGAGGCAATCAACCAATTCCTGAATCTTAGACATATAACAATTTGTAGAGAGATCTCCCCTTTTAATAGTATGTAATTGATGCAGTACTGCATTTCTCTCGCTGTGATTGATGGAGAAAGTGATTTTTTGATGTGGTCCAAGCATCTGCAACTCTAGAACAATGATATAATAGAGGAATAAGGTCACTGTGAATTGTTTCCTGAATCCAAGTAAGAAGACTGTCTTGCTTTCTCGACGTAACAAAGGCAGGGTTAACTGACTTGGAAGTACCATCAGAAGAAACATTAACTTTAGGAGGAGGTGATTCAGAACCATCAATGTGTCCAAACAAATCATACATCTCAATAACAGGTTGAATGAGATGTACCCATTTAAGATAATTATTTTGATGTAAAACTTCAGGAACAAGATCCTTAATATGCACAGAAAAGCAGAGCCATATTAATAATAAAAGATAAGTAAACAAAATTGAAAGAACTAAATAACGAGAGATGGACTTTTTTTTTTTGTAAATATGAGAATTGACTGGAGGGGGAAAGAAAAGGTGAAGAACAATTATGTATCTAATGGTTTAAAGAAGAAAGGTCAAAAGGCGAAGAACTATGGTATGTAATGTGGGGCACACAAGAAAGTTAAAACTTAAAAGAGTATAAAAAAATCTATAAAGTAACAGTGGAAAGGATTAATTAAATAAGGCTTGATAGCAAAAAGAAGACACAAGTAACAGAGAAGGAAAAACGTGGAGAAAGCAAGAGATGCTTCAGCCGTGAATTTCATCGACGGTCAGCGCTAGGTAGGTTAGGGTAGTATCTTTAGGCTTTTGATACCATGATATAATAATGCCCTATAGTAATGTTTTTGGGGTTGTCATTGTATTTATAAAGCAGTACATAAGTGTAAGAGACAAGATACCTTTATTTAGAAGGGTAATATACAATAATTCCTAGGCTAACATGGTAAAAGATACATGTATATTATCATTTTTATCACTCAATTTATAATTCTTTAAAATTTCTAAAAATTTAAAAGCATAAAATTTTTTCTGAGTTTTCGTTTAAAAGATCCTTGTTTTCAAGCTTCCTTCATTTGGTTTTCACCTTTTAGTTCAAACAAAAAAAATAGCGTCATTTTCTTCAAATTATCTAGTTTAAACTTTTTGAGAAATTTAATATCATATTCTAGCTAAACCATAAGACCAAACTTGTTTCACTCTCTCCCTTTTAGGCCACAATCCCCCCCTCCTCCCCTCCCCCTCTCTCTCTCTTTCGGTGCCCCTT